AAAGTAAAAGAAAAAGATGACAACTTATAAAAAGCTTTGAGAAAAATAAAAGTTCTAGAAAATATTGTGGCATGACAGAAATATTTGACAGACAAGCAGCTTCAAGAACTACCAGTTTTACCAAAGAAAGAAAATAAATTTAAACTCATAATTAACAAAGTAAAGAACAAAGTTAGCCAAGTTAAAGAAATAACTTGAGAAAAATTTGAAACCTATATCTTGCAAAAGAATAAATAGCATGAAATTAGAATACCAAGTTAATGAGCTGAGGAGAGGAGATAAATGGCATTGTAATTTCTGTCCTTTTGAAAGAGAAAGGAGTTTAACTGCTACTTACAAAATAGTATCTTACAATACAAGCAATAATGATTACAATGACATTGCTTATATTTGTGTTGAGTGTAAAAAAGCTCTTGATGATAATACTTTGCCACATTGTAATGATTGTGGTAGAATTATGAGAAACAGGATAGATTGTTTTTGTGATTTAAGGAAAGATGAACCAGTCAAAACCCCAACCATAACAGAAATAATGGCACAGAGTTATGTTGGCAGATTGGAATAGCAGAATAAAGGCTTAAAACAGTAACTATCCAGTGCTAAGGAAGAAAACAGTTCTCATTTGGAAGCTTTAGAAGTTTCAAAGGATTGGCATAATAAGCAAAAGCAAGAGTTATTAGATAAGATTCAAAGACTTGAAAGTGAGGTTGAACAATTAAAGAGACAGCAGACTCAACTAACTGCACAAATTGAAATTAAAGCAACTAAGAAATGACCTTGATTGAAAATAAGAAAGTAATTTCCCTCTGTATAATTCCAACTATCAAAGAAAATGATAGTTATTTTCCTTTTAAAGATTTTTGCTTTTTATTAGGTAATAATACATCATCATGATGTTTTCTTTTTTCAACATTTATTATTTTTCTTTCTTCTTGGTAAATTTCATAAGCAATCTTTTCTTTTCTTAGATAAGCTTCAATTGCCTGAGTATCATTTATTTTGAAAATATAGGGTGCAATTTTTTCCCTTGTTCCTTTTTTAAAATATTTAATGGTGCTATTATTCTTGGGTTCCATAGTAGATCTGATGTAAATGAATTTCATACAGTCAAACCTCGTCACAGCGGACCTCGCCACAGCGGATTTCTTGTTACAACGGATTTAAATATTGGCCCCTTT